AAAAAATTTAATTACTTTAACCAGGACATCATAAAGACGAAAATATCTTGACGAAAATCAATATTAAACACACACCCACATCTCACTGACAACAGTTCATAACGTTAATGTTAATGTGTCCAGCCGATTTATATTAGTAACTTTAACGTAAAGATCAGAGTTGGTATAAAATCACTACGTTTTAGTTGGAAATGTTTAAAAATTTGTAATCTGTAGTTGTCAAAATTATGTTATTAATAACTCAATTTCATCATAGTACATCGCGACAGAACTCGAGACACCATTCACACCACCTGAATGATTGGCTGTCCACTACTGTGCAATTTACAAGAAGTTTTCCTCGGCTTCCTCGCACAACTTCCTCGCGGAATCGACTGCTACCATCGGATTTTCCGGACCAATACGACTGAAAGACCTACAAGAAAAGAGCCTACTCTTTTTTCTTAGCACCAAAATGATTGGCGGTCCACTACTGTGCAATTTAAAAGAAGTATTGGAAGGCCTCCTCGCACAACTTCCTCGCGGAATCGACTACCACCATCGAATTTTCCGGTTCTCTACACTCACCGTACGAAACATAGCAGCATTAAGCTAATATTTCACGCTGATATTCTTTGAGAACGTGGTCCTTTCCCGGTCGAGCCGACCCATTCGTGCTACAACTATACTTCTAATATAACTGCAGCATTTACGCGAATTCATCCCTTTTTTGACGTGGATTTAGAGAATTTTCATTCTGTATATCAGAATAGTAATAAATATCAGGTCAGTATTAAACGTATTTCATTAAGACATCTAAAATTATTCCAAAACCAACAACGCTTTTGTATTATTTAAGTATCAAATATTTGTGTTCTAAAATGAACGTTGAAGAAAATCAAACAAGAAGTACGCGCAGTAACTATGGCGTTTTACGAAATTCGACCGAAGTAACCTAACACCGCTCACTCCTCACGTGCTGTACTATTTTCGACTTCTCAAATGGAATTTAATAAAGCCCGGCGACGACATTTGCTCTACATTTGTAAACTTGATGTATTACGTTATGACAATTTTACATTGTGAAAATAAATATTCATTGTTTTTGAAAAAGAAAGACATTTACAGTATTTAATATTAAAAAATCAAGAGACGCGGTTCGTTACTGATTGATAATTCAGTGAAATTTCATTTTTGATGACAATCAAGCAACGGTAATCTTTTCTACAGACATATACATAAATTAGCCAGCAATAAATATCCAATTTCAATATAAAAATCCCTATCTTATTTTGAGCTAGAGTAATCCGCCTGATTCAACGCATAATTGCATAATTTACCTGTCATTTTCTACTGCCGAACGTTCGACAAATCGGCACAAAATTAAATTTTTAATTGTAATCCTACTAATTACAAATGTGAAAGTATGTTTGTATAGATGTTTTAAATCCAAATAATTTACCCATATTTGGGGTGGTTAAAGTTGTTTTTTTTTTTTTTTTATTTTTTTAAGGAGTGAGCACTTCTCGGTAAAGCACGAGTAGAATAGAATAGAATATAATATTTTTTTATTCAATATAGATTACAAGTAATTCATATTTAAAGTATTTTTTTTAATTTAACACCGATTTGAAAAAAACCTCTGTTCTGGGAAGAACCAGCAAAAACCCAACGGGACGTTTTTAAATAAATTTTACAATGTGTCACAAAATACATATTTACAAAATTTATTTTAGAAACAGCTTGGAAGCGACCACCTCATTCCCAGGAGCTATTTTCAACCACGTATTCATTTATATCATAAAAACACTTTTTATACAGTTTTTGTTTAATTAAATAATTAAAAAAGAGAGACCTTGTATATTTTCTGGGACTTTGTTGTAATAGCGTATACATTTCCCCAAGAATGAATTACTGACTCTGTGGAGTCGAGAAACTGGTATCACTAGCTTGTGCTTGTTCCTAGTGTTTATAGAGTATGTGTTATAATTTAAAAGATTGTAGGAGAACAACTTTAAATTTTTTCTAAAATTCCAACAAAAGTTGCATGTGATGCGTTCTGTTAGTTAAACGAACAAGGTTGTAAGTATTGACAAATTTCTGTATGCACTACCGGCAGGTACGAGACTGCCAATCAAGAACGTTTCTTCGCCGTCGGTTTTCGGTTCTTCGAGCTATATGGCTATTGCCGCTTCAGCTCACTGATCAGCTATGCTTGGTTCTCATGTTCTTATGAGAATTTTAAGGACTACGAGGATCTCGTAGAGAAACTCCGAAATAATCTTCTCCATTCTTCGCTGAATGGTATTGAGCTTTCTCATACAACCAGCAATGAAGAATCACGTTACGGTTCCGTAAATCATCACCACCAATACCAAACATTGTCATTGAAACACAAAACAAAAATACAAAACCAAGAATGGCTCTGCACTATTTTAAAAATTTAATTATTAAATAAATAACGACATAAACCAACGGCAGATTAATTACAAAAGAAAAATATAACACTAAAATCCTGCCAAAAACTTAACTATAATAATCAATAAAAGCCAACTCGTGAAATCACGAACGCAAACATTGACACATAAATTAACGTGTGACTGTTAAATATAACTGATATTGTTAAAATAAGACGTGAATTGGCACATTTATGCATAATTATATAATTTTCCCGCCTTTACATCAAATTTTTAGATCATTGGTAACTATTTAAAAGATATCCTTTTTTATAGAATATAGATGACAAACGAGCACACAGTCTACCTGATGGTAAGTGGATGCTGTGGTCCATAGACATCTACATCTATCCTCGATTAAGAATCAAAAGGCAGATGCGTTGTCACCCCTGAAGACTAAGATGGAATGCCTCGATTCCGGTAAAGAGGGTCTCGGATTCCTTACACCCACCATACGAAACACAGCAGAATTACGCTGCTATCTTACGCTGGTATTCTGTGAGAGCGTGGTACCCCGCTCGAGCCGACCCATTCGTGCTACAACTATAATATGGCTGCAGCGCGGCTCCACCACGTCATCTGCAGATGGAATAAAAATAATTTTACAGTTCGTACGTTGAGTGAGAATAACGGGAGACTCTTTAACATCCGCTATTGTGCTTAGGAGTACATTTACTTGTGCATCTGCTTTCTGATTTATAATAAAGGATAGATGTAATTGTCTATGATCCATAGTATCTACTCATCATGAGGTGGAATGTGCCTTATGGTAAGTACACACTGTGGTGTGGTGGAGTGCGAAATGAGAGATGCTGCAGTTATATTAGTAGTATAGTTGCAACACGAGAGGGTCGGCTCGACCGGGGAAGGACCACGCTCTTGCAGAATACCATAAAATAGTATCTTAGTGCTGCTGTGTTTCGTATGGCGAGTGTAGAGAACCGGAGATCCTTTTTACTGGAAACGATATATTTCATCTTAGTCCTCACGGGTGATAACACATCTGCATTTTAATTTGTAATCGAGAATAGATGTAGTTGTCTGTGAGCCACAGCAATCACTTACCATCAGGTGGACTGTGTGCTCGTTTGTCACCGTATCCTATAAAAAATACGTGGTAGAGCCACGCTGCAGCTATATTATGATTGTAGCACTAATGGGTTGGCTCGACTGGGGAAGGATCACGCTCTCACAGAATACCACCTAAAATAGCAGCTTAATACTGTCGTGTTTCGTATTGTGAGTGTAGAAATCCGGAGACCCTTTTTTACTGGAAATGAGGCATTCCATCTTAGTCCTCAGGGGTGACAACGCGTCTGCGTTTTTATTTTTAATCGAGGATAAATGTAGACGTCTATGGGCCCCAGTATCCACTTACCATCAGGCGGACTGAGTGCTCGCTTGTCACCCTTATTCTATTTAAAATAGATATGCAAAAGATATATGAAGAAAATATTATGTTGTTATAGTTATTAGAACACCTGGCTGGCGTGAAATGAAAATTCTACGCTGTAATAAGTCTGCAGTCTGTGAACATGTGGATTTCACTAGCCGTTACCATTACTTCACATTCAATAGACTAAATCTTCTAGAATATATCCTTGCAAGAAAACACTAATTTTTGTCAAGAAAGAGTCGCGCAGCCATTGAAATTTAAATACACAGAAAATACACCCTTATTTCAGAGATTTGGAGAAAACTTTTGCACTCTACCATCAATTTGGGTTTGGTTTTATGCACTGAAACGTTAAAACCAAAACCCGTATACCGCAAGTATACGCAAGACCTCAATATAGTGTAAGCTCATTTATCTTTTATCGGAGAATTTGAATTTAATCAAAATCCGTCCATTGTTTTTTCTACAAAAAATATCATTTAAATGCATACATGTATTATACTCTGTACATATTGTCATTCTGTAGCATTCGTTTTGCCGGCGTAACACAAAGTGAAGATAACTATTCCAAAGTCCTAGATACTTAGGATATAGTTATTTCAGAGTTTTCCATCGTTATCAGAAACTTAGTCAATATTACGGAAAATATCAGAAAATTACTATTTCTTATCTGTGAGATTTAATAGATGCTTAATGTTTTCTTATATATATACGAATACTACACGTTGAATATAGCTAATTATTGCGTTTAATTTCTTTTCTAATTTTTTGTAAGTAGTGTCTGTTCATGGAATGTGCAACCTCTGTCAAGCAGAAGCGCTCAGCTCAGTCGAGCTAACTCTAGTTAATACTCGAATTAGTAAATCGAGTTGACATATCGCTAATCAAGCTGTCCTATTTACAACTCACAAATACAACTACGAATAAAATATAAATAAAATCAATGATGATTGTTCTTTTGACTATCAAAACCCTGTCTTTATAAAAAAAAATGTCTTTCGTAATAATGTCATAAGTATCAAAGATTTACTAAAATATTATATCATAAACAAATTTTGTCTTGGGTTGAATTGAATTTATCTGCCGCCCTGCGACATCTTAACTCGGGCCTTGTAAATAATAAGTTTGTTTGAGCTTCTTGTCTAGTTTCTGTACAGCATACAAATAAGATGCCAAGTCATTGTTGCTCTAGGAAGATAATAATATTTGACGGAAGCGACTTGAACTTGCCATCTGAAAACAAACCGAAACCTCAGTACGACATCTCCCTCGGATCGCAACGCGCGCGTTCTCTACAAACAAAACGTTTTTCTCACTTTTTGACGAACTATTTCTTTACAGGTCATTATTTTTATTTTTATTTTCGTTATTTTTTTAATAATTTTCTATACAATTTTACTTTACTGGTCCAAATAAAAAAAAACATTTGCTTAGTTGGTGCCAAAAGTGTTTGTTGGTTTGAAATATAACTACTGGAACTAGGTGGAACTTTAAAGGAGAAATCGATCGTATTGAGGTAGGTTCAATTAATATTTCTTGAATTTTAAAAAAAGATGATAAAGATTCGAAATGATTTTATCTCACAGAATCATAAAATAGCAGCATAAAATACTCTTTTAGCTGCAAACGAAGCATTCCATCTAAGTCCTCAAGAGTGGCACCGCATCTTTTTTTCCGCGCATCTTATGACAGAGTCAAGCCACGCTGCAGCTATATTATGGTTGTAGTATGAAAGGGCTTGACCAGGGGCAGATCACGCTGTTTCGCATGGTGATTATAGAGAACCGGAGATCCATTTTACTGGAAACGAGGCATTCCATCTTAGCCCTCAGGAGTAACAACGCATCTGCATTTTTATTCTTAATTACAGATAAATGTAGATGTCTATGAGCCACAGTATCCACTTACAATCAGATAAACTATATGCTCGTTTGTCACTCTTATTCTATAAAAAATTTACATTTTGATTCTTGATCGAAGACAGAATCGAGACAGTAGCTGCCAATAGAAACAGAAACAGAAACTTTTTTATTCAATATAAATTATAAATAATACTTATTGAAAGTCCACTTTTTTTCATTACTACTGGTTTGCAATAAAAACCTCTGTCCTGGGAAGAACCAGCAAGTAACCCAACGGGATATTTTTTTAAATAAGAGCTTGCAATCATGTATGTTACAATTAACAACACAAAACAAATTAAAAATAGCAAAAACGAAGAATGGGTTATTCCACTCACCATCAGGTGAACTATTTACTCGTTTTTACAACTTATTTTAAAAAATAAAATATAAATTAAAAATAAACATAATTACTTATTTCAAAGAATTTATTTATTTTTATACTTTTGAGATCCACTTAACACTGCGTAAATATTTTAACGTCTATTTTATAGCCAGTTTCCATTTATATAAAAGTTCATTTCTCATAATTATTACCAAGTAAGGGTAAGAAATGAAAAAATAAACCACTTGAAGGATCTGGATGCAGTGGCCCATAGATATACCGACATCTATCCTCGACCAAAACTCAAAATGCAGATGCATTGTCACGCCAGAGGATTAAAGGGGTACGCCGGCCTACCTATAGAAAAATAACTTGTTCTTCTCATTAACCGTTAATGAACATAGCAGCATGAACTGCCATTCCATGCTGGTATTTAGTGGAAACGTGATACTTTCCCGGTTGAGCCGACAAATTCGTGATGCAGTTTCAACCACGACGTGACTCTACCACGTACAATATTTATTTAATTGCAATGCCCGTGAATGAGTAATTACATACTATTTTTATAATAACTATACGATACCAAAAAATCTATCTTTATTAGATATTTACCAAATCAAATTATACGCTAAATAATAGCTCACGTGTCATACATAATTTAACGTCGGTCCTTGTATTCGGTTAAACCGGTTAATTACGAAGGTGTTAGCTGTATAATGTACATTTTAATAATTCTTGTTTAAAATTTGCCTTCTTATGCTTTAAATTTATAGCATATTATAGCATCAAATTACATTTATAGATTTGAAACTTTAAAAATAGCTCATAACTAGAAAATTGGTACCTATTTTACCATAATGATTTCTTATATTTACGCGAACACTATACATTGATTAAAACTACTTTTACGGATTTTATCGCGTTTTATTTATATTAATTTTAATACCCGACGTTTCGGGTGCTTTCCAGCACCCATGGTCACGGGGGACTGAGGTGACTGACGTCCCGATGTCAAAGTTAACCCGGAGTACCTTCAGCTTTTTAATTATCCAACCAATTAAGGACCAAAGACAATAATTAAAAAGCTGAAGGTATATAAATAAAATATATATATATTAATTAAATATATAATAAAACGCGATAAAATCCGTAAAAGTAGTTTTAATCAACCTATTTTACCATTTTGGATTATACTTATTTACTTTGTAGTTAAAAGGAAATGCCAGTCTCCGGAGAGAAGCTAAAGGAACTAGTTTGACCTAGAATATATTTGCTATTGGTTAAACTTTGGGATAGCTTCAAGTTTTACATTTGAAATGATCGATTCCACTTAGTAATATAGCAAACAAACATTAAATAGTAAAACATTTTTCTGACTTCATATTTTCAACTTATCAAGATTCACACAAAGGTTAAATATAATAAGTTGACGATCTCTTTACTTAGTGGCTACGTTCGCAGTTATAATTTATGTAATATGATAATTACTAGTGACGCCGTTAGAAACAACGTTATCATGAAGTAAATACAGCTTAAATATAGTAAATAAAAATCCGCAATTATTTCTAATTAACGTAATAGTTGGCGATATCGCTATCAACAGCATAGCCTTAAGTAAAAATAGTTGAGATGCATGATGATTGGGTTACATAGTAACGTAACACTGTAATGCCATAAAGTAAAATTACACCCTATATCTTCTAAAGCTGGGTCTGACCTTGTCATGAAAATTTTCTCATAATCTTTCATTCGATTTTAATCTAATTAATCTGAGCTACTTTTAGTTATATTATTACTTTTAGTTATATCTCATACTACCCCAGTGACGATGCGTGCATTCGAGACGTCGTTAATTTGAATATAATTGACTTGAAATCGACAAAATTTGTATAATTAGTTAAAACGTGAGCATTCTTTTAGCTAAATATTCTGCTGAGTGCCGCCAGTCAGAAGGTAGACACCTTCTTTAAGAGTCGGACACTATAGATACTATATCGCATGGGGGTGATAGTGAAATATCTATAAGCTTTTGAAGATAGTCGTTAATGCCTGTCTAAAATTTCATTGAAGTCGTGTAGTAGCCGACATTAGCGCTTCATTCATAATACGATGCAGTGTGATAAAAAAATCTAATAACGAAAAAAAAAACAATGTTTCCCTTAAAAGAGCTATCGCAATTATCTGTCCAATCAAAGAAATGCTTCATGCATACATGCATTACTATCAATAAACCATCAAAGATGGGATATTTGCCACAGTTGCCACGCTCTTGAGATGGGTTGGCAACCGCAGTTTATTATTATTTTGAGTTGTTATCAGGAAGATGCTGTTGCCCATGTCTTCTATATTTCAAGATGAAATATAGAAGAAGATGAGTGGTTGGCTAACACCACCACACGGATATTTGAGACAGGATGAATGTTTGGCATTTGTTCGTAAATTTTAAATAAGAAAGAGATGACAAAATCATACGAACATTTGTTCTAATATATACTAGTAATAATTTGATTACTTCATTTATCATGTGATAGAAAGCGCGACTGCTGATCATGTGGTCCTGGATTTGAATCCCGAGTAAGACCAAAATCAGTAATTGAGGTTTTCTGCCAAGAAATTCTGCATAATATCCCGGAGTCAAAAAATTGGCGGTATTTTACACCCGTGCCTCGGGAAACACAAGGAGGACAAAGACGTTGGTTCTACACCTGATCTCTCTCCGGTCGTGAATGATTACCATCCCATTGGACTATGGGAGTGAGAGGACAGTTTTTTTAGTCCTCCAGATGTAGCTAAATGAAAACATTGTAAGAAACCTGGTCTGAGAAACAGATTATGAGAAAAATTTCGAGGCTAGGCCTGATCTAGCTTTGGGAAATATAGGATGTAATTTCACTTTATTGCATTACAATGCTACGTTACTATGTAATCCGACCCCAATGAAACCTCTACTAGTTTCGCTTACCGCGATGCTATTGATAGCAGTATCGCCAACTATTGCGTAGATTATACATATATCATTATGGATTCTTCATTAATATATTTAAGCCGTAGTTTACTTTATGATAGCGTTGTATCCACCGATGTCGCTAATAATTATTATCATATTACATAAATTACAATTTTATTATATTTAACGTTTGTCAGCAACTTCATAATTCTAAATGATGAAGTCAGAAAAATGTTTTACTGTTTAATGTTTGTTTGTTAAGTTACTAAGCGAAATCGAGCATTTCAAGTTTGAAACTCGAGGCTCTTACAACTTTTCAAGAAAAGCAAAATGTTATAAGGTCAAACTAGTTTCTTCGGCTTCTCTCCGGAGACCTAAAACACATGAGTAAAGAAACCTTACTCTGTACCTACAACTCCTTTTGACAACAAAGTAAATAATTATAATTCAAAATGGCAACCATTTTTACCATCTTTCTAGTCCTATACGTACTATACGTGGGGGTAATATGGTCATCTAGTTAATATGGTCCCTTTCTTATTACTCAAAAATTACAGTCTTGTTTATATAGATGACTTTGTGATACGATAGCTATTCATTGATTAATAAAGGATCAAAAGGGCGATGCTTTATCGACGCTATTTTGAAAGTTGACGTTATAGTGAATATTTTAGTCGATTTTAGTATGGTGTAGTGTAGTTAATTCTTTTTAGAATTAACTACACTACACCATTTCGAAGTAGATTTTTCTAAGTGTTCCATTATTCCAACTATTGCCATGGCTTGTTTGCTGATTTTTTTTTCTTAATATATAAGTTATAGTATACGACTTTGTGTTTTTGTCTTTTTCCTTCTCCTAGATTTTATAGGGCGGCAAAGCTTAAGATGACCATATTACCCTCACATACCTTAGTATGAAAAGTTTCAAATCTCTAACGCATCAAGAAGTTTGTATAACCTATGTTTGTATAAAATCGATAGTTTAATTTGTAAAGAACAATCAGACAAATAAACAGACAAGAAAGGGACTTTATATTGAACTGTTATTCAGCTCTAAGCTACATTTAAAATTTAACATCTCTAGCTCATCGGGAATTTACTTTAAAATCAATTGCAATTTGTTTGGCAGCGAGTTCATAAAATAAAACGTTATAAAAAAAGTGTTAGAAAATGGGCGTGAATGGGATTCGGCATACGATTTCTATTAACTTCCTGCTTGGTTCAGCGCTGATTAAAGTAAAAACTAAATTACGTTTTATTACGCGAGTACAAGTACGAATCAAACTGATTTGGAGAAGAGATGAAGGGATAAATAATAGAAAAATCATTACAGACATTATTTT